ATATGATGTTGGATGATATATTTTGATAATGTACAGGGATTATTGAATGTTCAGTGTCATCATCATCACTTTGCCAATGCCAAGTAAGGGTGCATGAAAGATTTCATGAAATTCTTCTGAAATTCTTAAGAAATCTGAAAATGTTCATTTGATCTTTGCTCGGCACTCAGGGCCATTGAGCAGTGAGGGATCTTTATCATGCCAATGCCTGCCGTGACACGGGGCCTCGGTTTTTAAGGTCTCATCCGAAGGACCCGCAACTTTCACTTCAAAGTGCCGATCGGATGGCGAAGGAACAGTTGCTACCCATTTTTTATCGACTTAGGTCAGTCGCGGCCGAGATTCGAACTCACGACCTCCCGATCACGAAGCGAACGCTCTACCGACTGAGCTACCGTGAACGGTCAATCAAATTGGACCTAGTTTTTTTCACTGAGATTCCCTTGTGTGCATGAGCACAAGCTAATTGGTTTGAGACAGGGAATAAGTGATTGCATTTTCTATGTACATTGATTCAGTGATGCCAAACTTAAAAATCTAATTGCCTGAAAATGATTTATTTTGTCCATGAAGAGCAATTAGGGAATTTTTAGATGTAAATTTGTGACAGAATATGAGAAAATTATGATCCACTTTTATTATTAGGGAAAAATCAGGGACTTTAAAGATTTTAACAAACCTTTGTACACGTAGTTTTCGTATGAATGCTACATGTAACAGTAAATTTTTTTTTGAACAGAAAAAGTAACACTCCAATTAATATAATTCATAGCCATGTTCCATAGAGAAATATAACAACTGACAATATGCATAACATTCTCGGTAGTATAAGTGTGATGTTGTTTGGCAGATCTAGGGTGTTTAGCCCTATTGGGTATCCAATGGAATTCTTGCGTCAGTTTTAAAAGACAGACCTTTTACTAAAAAAGTTTTCAGGTTTAAGATTGCAATGATCAGTTTATTTCATATATATTGTATATTCTGCATGTAGATAGCGTTCATACTAATAGCGATAGAAATACACACCTGTTAGCCTGTTTTTATATACCTATGAAGGAGAATTTATTTAAAAAATTCTATATGAGAAGAGGAAAACGTTTGCTGTGGCCTTCAATTCGATTTCAGATGTCGATGATTTACTCGAAATTGACATTATGTATGTTTTCCCAGAATATCCTACCTTGAAATCGAGCATGCGCATTCCTGCCAAAAAAGGGTTAGGGTTAGGGTTAGGGTTAGCAACTAAGGTAGTTGCTAGCGCAGTAGACCACTAGCATTCAGATATACCGACGATGTTTTATCAATTAACAAGAGTTATTTTCATTCATGTATCTATTCAATATATCCCAGTAAACTTGAAATATAGGCGTCGGGACCGGGGGAGGGGGGGGGGGGCATAAGATAGACATGGTATAGGCATTGAAAATTGGGGCTTAGTCCCAAACTTTTTTTTGTTTGTTTAGCCCCCCTTTCAACCCCCCCCCCCCATTTTCAATTTGCTTCCGACGCCTATGTGAGAAAAAGACACCATAGAGTCTGCCACATCTGTTTCATATTAAGATGTGTTAACAACTAATTTCTATGACGAAAGAGATGACTTCAGCTTTTCCATCGTCAACTTTCTTTATTTATGTAGTAATATTCTACCTTCTCCTGCTTATGGTGTTTATGTCTCCCAACTTACTCATCACTCAAAGCTTGTTCTGAGTACGATCAAATATTAAAGCCGGGCATGCTACTTACTGATAAGTTGATGTTACAGGGTTTCAACAATCACGTTTAAAGTCGGCATTTCGTAAATTCTATGAACATTATAATGATCTTGTTAGCAAACCTATCAAAATTTGGTCGTATTTTGGCTGACATGTTTCAATTTTTTCATACCAATTGCTAGACGTTTGTTTTTATACTGAATTTGACTACTGGTAGTTCCGTCTACCTTATCTATACTCATAGCGGGTGTGCCCGGTCTACTGCTGGTGTAACCGGCGAGACCTACATCATAAAATGTACAATATGTATATATTTGCAAGTAAGTTACTAATATAGCAGCCTCGGATATAAATTTTGTGCAAGAACAACTATGTTTGTTCAGAAACCAATTTTGTACCCAACGGTCCTTAAAAACATCGTTTTTCATATACTTTTAAAATATTTTTTTCACATAAGTTCAAATTCAGTTGTTATTCTTTTGTAATGATGATGGTGCTCTAAAATATTTCTTTAGGACTTAAATGTTGTTGTTTGAGTATTTTCAACACATATATGATTTAATAAACCGGGTTGAAATTATCGGAAAGATTAAATTGCGGAACGTATGCTAATGGACATTTCCGCAAATTTTGAACCAAAATCATTTCTACTTTTACTCAAAAGTTTTATTAGGATTAAAAATGTATACCACGCCAATATATCTTGCATTTCAACAAAAATAAGTTGCATGTCGACATGATTATCTTGCATGTCAGCGTAGATAAATTGCATGTCAACATAAATGAGTTGCATGTTGACATACTAGTATATATGTTGCATGTTAACATATTTATTTCGCATATTAACATAAATAAGTTTGATATTTACATAAATAAGTTGCATCTAGCATGTTGGAAGTCACATGTGGTCGATATTTGAATATTTCATTTCGGAAATTTTCCAAATTTTTAGTTGATAATATTAATGTTGCATGTTGACATATTTATGTTACATGTTGACATCATTATCTTGCATGTTGACATAATCTATAAAAGAATAACTTGCTAATATGGGGCAGAAATATGCTACCATAGAAACAATGTTTATTTTATAAGGATTCATTTTCAGCAGAGTAATGGCTTGATTATCTTGAAAACTTATCTATATTTTGCATAGGTGTTATCTACGTTTATATATCATATTATCTTTTTAAAAAGTGCAACTGTTTTCATCTGGAGGTTGTGAAGCATATACATGTCCTTTTCAAGTTCATTTATTGCGAATGTTTATGTGCAAGGTACTTCGTTATAAAAAGGGGCAAATAAGTATACGCTTATCAATACTATTTTCCCCACAATCCACTTTATTAATATTAAATAAAAAAGGGTGTTTTAATAAATTACAAATCCGAACGATGTAAAGAAAGCGTTGAAAAAAAGAAGTTTTTTTCTCCCTCTATTTCATATTATAATAACTCGGAATTTTGGAATGAATTGATAATGCTGAAAAACTTTACAACGTCAGAAGCGAATGTTCCATCAATCTCTACATTCGCTGCTGTTTTACTAATAACTTTGGATGCAATAAATAGTGCTATGCAAATTCTCGTACTTGTAATCTGACTTATGGATGCTCGGTTGGCTTCGTGACAAAGTGAACAGTGTATATGGTGGTGGGGGGGGGGGGTAGGTAGGGGGGATTGTGGGGAGGGTGAAGGTTCAATCAAATACATGTAAATGTTTTCACCAAGGAAAAAAAATATTTGAAAAGCAAAAACGGGGGGTGGGGTGAGGGTATTTAACAATTCACAACGAACATTTTCTAGATGTTGCTAGAGAGGGGCACAGTTGGGGATATATGACTCCCAGCTTAGCGATAAAGGTCTATGACAAGAAAAATAAGTTATTTCATGTTAAGGACTTAGTTACTTTTTGACCGAAAAATGTAAAGATACTTTGTCGCTATTTCAAAGGTAACCCCCCCCCCCCCCCGGAGTACACCTTTACCTTATCAGTCTGTAGTCAAAATAAATAATGATCGAAAACTAGTTCATAAAGATTAACACTCTTTTCTCTATATAGACCAAAAAAACTGTTGTATATTAAAACGGTGACGTTCTTTGAGGAAAATCGTCTATTTCACAATTACATTTTCATCAGATTATAGATGTAGCCAATATCGACGATTTTTCTTTTTTGTCTAATTAAAAATATATATTACTCTACGTTTTAAGTAGATATTATCATATATTTTATTATCATTTTATCTTTAGCTGTTTGAAACCCTCGTTTGAGAGCCGACTGGATCACATTTTTTTTCGTGACCTTATCACAGGATTTCCCAACGCCCTGAAAAAAAAAAGCACATGCGTTCTCTTTTCGCTTTGCGAAGTCAACAAGAGACCACGCTCACCAGAGAGTTATCTTGATATTTGGAATATTCTTATTTTTCTTAGTTTTAGTTTGAATTTAATAAGTTCATATTTTGTTTCTTTTCTGTTTAAATTGTGTTTACTTTGTTAGCTTTGTCGTTTTATACAGTTATACCCTTTATATATATCTTGTGTTTGCGCTCTTTTTTTCTTTGGATTTTACAGTGATTATTCAATCCGGGAACGGAGTCAAGAAGGTAATCTCTCTCTCTCTCTCTCTCTCTCTCTGATATCAGTGTTTACATGTGTTGTATTAAATAATCCCGATATATCAAAACTCATTGTTTTTAGTTCTGTAATGTTTGTAGTAGTATGATCAAGAGATATATAATCGGGTATATACAATGCTAATAGTTAAATACTGACTGAACGTAATGTTCTAATGCGTTTTGTATGCCCTTTCCACAACGCTAAATACTGATATTCTTAAATTTTGGAGTTGCGATATCCTATATACAACATGTTTTTTTTTTAAATGATGAATAATTTTTCTTTCACTGAAAACAATCAAATTGAAGGTAAAACAAAAAAATATGGACTGATATATCAGTGTTAGTAGCAATAATCTTTTTTGTGCATATCAATACCATGTTTATGACATATTCTTTTTCTAAAGTTAGCTATTAGTTCCCGAGGAACAGTCGAGGAAAGATTTGTTGTCTGTTTGTCTTTGTTTTTGTTAATTTTGCATAAGAAATATCAAAAATTTTGTTAAGGATAGTAAGTACAAACTTCATTTGCTGAATGGTTTTGAAATAATGGAAATTAAAATATAGAAATGTTTATCAGAATCTAAAAGTACTTTTAATTGTTCATGTACTTCATGGAATTTATCGTGTGATGTCGCTTGTAAATCCATAACTCCTGTCTTTTTTAGATGGCAGGAACCAGAGAACTTAGAAGCAGTCGGAGGAATGAAAGAGTGAGTAACCTATGGAATGTATCAAATGACTTTGACTTTGCTTCAAAGAATATGAGGAAACAAAGTGCAACGTTTTACTCCAGGCAATACCCTTCGATGTCGCTAAGGAGGAGGCCCTGAGGTACATTACCCTTGGGAAAGATAAGCCGGGTTGCTCAGTAAAACAAGTGGATCATTTGATAGGTGAGTACACACACACACACACGCACACACACACACACACACAGAGAGAGAGAGAGAGAGAGAGAGAGAGAGAGAGAGAGAGTTAAATTAAACTGATTGCATTTGAAATAAAATTTAATTACGAGTATATAAATTATTCCCTAGTCCTCTACAGCAGGTTCTGATTTTCAGAAGCCTTATTGGCCTTCGCAGAATTAAAGCGGGAGTCCTTGTCTTTTTTCTCTCCTTATAATTAAGGTCTTTCATCAGAGGATGTTTGCTGTTGCATGTTGATGTATATTGTCTCTTTTCCCTTTGATCGGCGGGGTCTTTTGCTTTAATTCAGTTATTTTTTCTACTTTTGTTGTAATAGGAATGTGGCTGGCTGGCTTTTGACCAAAAGTTGCTAAAATTGTGACACTCAAATTCGAGGAATGATTTCATGAGTCTATACATGCTTGTATATTTCATTTCTCTCACATGATAAAAAGCAGGAAGTTATTGCTCAAATATTACACTTGATGATTTTTTTTAAATGTTCCTTAAATGTGTAGCTCCTTACCGGCCAAATCAAAAGTAGAAATTGTTGATTAAAAAAATATCCGCAGAAATTGCCACCTGCATCCATCTCTCAATCTCTCAGACTCTGATATTGTTTAATTAAGCAGCATGACGACCTGAAAATAATGTCTAGTACGTGTAATTATGAGTAAGTTACAATCTTAAATGATGTTGTTAAGTTCAATCTATAACAATTCATGCGGAAAAATTCTCACATACTACAAATTGTCTGGATATGCAAATATTCAAATCGTATTTGCCATAGTTAATAATGTAAACATGTATCTATGCCTTTATCATAAGAAGGAGATGCAGTGGCGGATCCAGATATTTCAAACGAGGGGTAAAGGGTGGGGAGGGGGAGCAGGGGAGAAGTTTTCGGAGGATGATCGCTGAATTCTGACAAAATAGGACGATCTGATACACTGATATATTTATACAAGCATAATGCAGCAGTAAATAAGGTTTTTTTTATTTTTAGGCAATTCTTTTAATGTATAAACGTTTCATGCGATCAAATCAGTTTGTTTTTATTCCCTTTTTCATTTCACTTCAAATTAATCGAATTCAATTTACTTAGGCCTACATGTATATATAGCTAGAATGAAAAAAATTCAAAGAATACTTCAAAACACAAACAAACTTTATTTCATCATGCAGATGGAATCTATGAAGAATTACTATTTTTCTTTTTCCTTTTGAAGCATCGGTCTGCAATTTCTTTAAGTATATTTCATTATCTTGAATTTGTTTTAAAAAAAGCTTTGAAAATTTGCTTGGAATTTTTAGTGAAGTACTAACTGGAATACGGGTATTTAACTGAAACAAACTTTACCCAAAGTAACAAAGGTGAAAAAAAGAGAAAAAACGGGCGCCATCGCATGATCCGCCTTTGAGAAAAAAAAGACAAGCACTTTGGTTTCAAGCTGAAAAATCAACCATTTGGTTGGAAACCCGATCCTAACGAAAAGCAGCAAGCACAAGTTTTACACTCCTAAATCTAACCTGTCAACTTCAGCGACGAATAGAGGCCTATCCACGGGGAATAAAATTTAAAATCACGTTAGGAATGCGAGCACGTCTGAATTTTTTTCCACTCCGGTTTATTCTCATGTGACCTAATAAGAGTACATGTATTCGTCTCTGTTTAATGTCATTCGATCAGTCAAGTATTGAAATTTTGATTAAGCAGATACATGTTAGCATTCATATTGACCGAGGCTGAAACTAAAGAATTTATATATACATATACAGAAAACATTTATATGTAGCCTGTAAACCAATTTTTGTTCAATTATTTCCGAACTAAAGCTGTATATATTCAGAAGATCCTGCCTACATAATATTGTTTTGTATATTCTAAAATATTAAAACAAAAATGAATTTACAAAATGTGAATCTTTATAAGTGCTTCTGCTTTCTGTAGGAATTTCAAGATTTCACTTAATCCAGTTACATTTCTATTCTCTCAAGCAAAAAAAGCGTAAATCTTCCCTTTTCAATTATTAATAAATGTGCACTTAGTCTAAAATTTGCAATCAAATTAATGTACTTGGCTTTAATTAGTTTCATTGAGTAGTATGAAAAAATAAATATATAAATAAAAAAAAAATTACAATATAAAGATTTTTTTTTAGTGATTTGTCTCTGTACTGTGACTATGACTTATTATCCTTGCATCCAGCTTTTTTTTTTTAAAAAAAAATAATTAATTACATTTTTTATACTTGTACCGTGTCAACCTCGGATGACTAATGTATGAAATACGTTGCGCTTTATAATATGCGCGAACGGACGAATATGAGTATCAATGAAGCTTTGAATGAAAATGAACATGCATTGAGTAAATTAAAATATAATATAATTTACATGATTCTGTGGAGGTTGTAAGAATAAGGGAACTTAGCTCTGAAATGGCCAACCACGGTGTGTGACAGATAATTCAATGCAGAACAAAAAAAAAAAAGAACAACAACAAAAACAACTCTGTTTAAAATAATCTCTGCGAGTGAAAGTAGTAGTTATGCTTCAAAACGTCCTCTTATTTTTCATTCGGGAAACTACGAATCCATACAAAATTAAGGCATATATAACTGCGTAACTCAATCAAGATTTATACAAACGTACGTGATATCATTGACAATCATCATTCGTTTTTGTTTGCAAAAAAATATCTTAATGCTAGAAATAGTCTTTTCGAATATCTTTTTAGATTTAATCTAAATATCATACAGGTGCATGTACACATTCTACTCTGGGAATAATGAAAAATTGAAAACCTATCACTAGAGCTGAACAATGGTATTATTGCCTCCGTTTACAGACTTATTATTGAATAGCTGCGTATTTAAAAAAAAGTTTATTTGTACATGTATATGTTCAGGAAATTATTTTGCACGACAACTGCATGTATATATGTGTTATATAAAAGGAGAGAAACTCATAAGTTTAGAAAGTGTTTCCGATCCTACTGATTATTTGTCAATAAAATATGTTTAAAGCAAAACAAATGCCTGAAAGTGATTAGGGCTTGTGTTGCATGTGTTGGTGGTTGTCTGTAGAACTAAGTAGAGGCTTTGAACTAAGTAAAGGCTTTGGTTTATAGCAACAAAGTTGTGTGTAACTTTATATAGCATTGTTTAGGCGCGGATCCGGGATTTTTTTTAAAGGGGGGGGGGTGTCCTCCAAAGTTTAAAAAAATCGAGCTTTAAAAATTCCCTGACAAAACCTAAACTTCTCTCCAAAACGTGAAAAACCTATTTCCTGAGGAAGGGGGAGGGATTTTTCTACTTCTTAATTATCATACGTATGGTTCTTCCTACTAACTTTACAGCGTTTCAGGTTTTTAGGGAGATTCTAAGACCATTTTTTAGTTATTTTGGTATGTACATTTAGTAAATCTACAAATTCCAGGGGTCCGGAGCTTCCTCCCCGACCCACTCTAGATCCGAGCATAATATTGACAATTTACATTATGTTTAATTCCGTGTTCTATAATGACGATAAATTTAGATGTTGCATATTTTCGGGCTTACTAATTTATTTCATGTGATCGCAGCAGTAACGGAAAAATATTCCATTGATTTATCAATTTATACGTGTAACCAGTTTTTTCTAATGATTAATTGAATTGTCATAGTAAAAAGATCTTTCTCCTTCTATTCAGTATTTCTGTTCGTTTGAATTTCATTGTGAATGCACTACATTCTTTTGAAATAATATATAATGGCTTCATTTTGATGGATTGGGTCGTGTGAAATGCATGAAACTGCAGACCCTTTAACTTTTACATGACCTTTAACCTTGAACCAAGGGTCAGAAGTAAAATTCAAGACACGTATCTAGATTCACTTTTTGGTGAAAAACAAAAACAAAAACAAAAAAACAAAACAAAAAAAAAAAACAAAAAACAAAAAACAAACAAAAACAAAAAACAAAAACAAAAACAAAAAAAAAAAAAAAAGAAAAAAAAAAAGAAAAGAAAAAAAAAAAGAAAAAAAATACCTTGGACTTTTAACCTCAAGAACACAATCTAGCTTAGGGACTAAAACAGCATGCATTTTTTTTTAATACATGGTGGTACATGGTGGATTTTTTTTTATTTGCTATTTTTTTTTACGATAAAAAAATTAGACTCCTCGATGCAATGCGTCAAACAGTTTCAAAATCAACCAGCCCCTCTCTCTCTCCAAAAAAAAAAAACAAAACAAAACAAAACAAAAAAAACAAAACAAAAAATTTAAGGGAAAAAAAACCTAAAACCTATATAATACATGTGGAAAAAAGGGAAAGGATCAAATCAAGAAGACATAATAGGCATTCCACACTCTCTCTCTCTATTATACGGACTTTAACAGTTTTTTAAAAATATCTACATGGGGGATGGGGTCAAAGATATTTTTTGCCACTTTACTTTTACTTAACTCTGAAATTTCCTAGTGGGAGGACCTGTAACTCCCCCCCCCCCCCCCCGAACATAGGCCTGCTAACGATCATGTTTTATAGACCTCTTTATATAGCATGAGTAGTTAAGGGCGTACAACACACCCACCACCAAAAAATCCCTGTCGTTTAATTTTCGCTATTTTTGTATATTTTATACATATATACAATGCGTATGCACATTTTGGACAAAATCGTTCGAGTCGTATTTGGACAGGAAGGTCCAAAAGTTACCTCCCTTTGGTTGTTCACGCGGAGAATAAATTTTCAATCTGCTAGCTATAAAATCCTTGATTTTCAAAAAAGTCCAGCTAGTCTGGCTGTCAAATTTCATCGACTCATTCATTTAACCATTAACCACACAAATAAAGTATTTTTGTAGAGGTACACATCGCCAAAATATTTTTTGAAGAACTAAAACTGAAAAACTATGGTTCTTTTAAGCCTTGAAAAATGCGTATTTTTAAATTTTAATATTTTTTTACAAAAATTTTGGGGAAAAACACTTTTTTCATGTAACTGGTTACAAAAGTAATCTTGATAATTTTTTCGTAACTTTTTTTTAAACGAGCCCTTTTTGAATTTATAGCGAAAAATCCCCCCTTTCTCGTAAGTCACGTTTCTCAAGCGTCTTTCAGACGTGGGACGAAAACATTGTTAGATCTACAAATACATATGAAAAATTCCAAGCTAGAAAATATCTTTTGCTTAAAAAAAATTATTTACATAATATATCAGAGTTCTTTAATCTTTTCAGTTCATTGAAATGCAGATGTATAGGCAATTTTTGTCGAAGCCCCCCCCCCCTCTTTTTTTTTTGACGCAGTCACTAGAGCTTTATGAAACATAGATTACCCTCGAGATATATATTTAATCTTTTAAATCCCTGAAGTACCAATTCATTAATTCATTTATGCAGATTTAAATTCTGACAACTATAATAAGAGTTTAAACTATCAAAGTTCTACTAGAATAAAAGTAAAACTTATTCTCTAAGGATTTTATGTCCACGTGTCCAATATGTAGTCCATACACATGGCTGACATGCATTTAATTTTATACTTGCGTATGAATTCAACTTACATTGAATTTTAATCTTATTTTTCATGTATAAAAACGTTTTGTTTTGATTCGAGGAAATGCGCACTGAAATTGTTGACAGTGGTATATCTAGATGGTCGGATAGGGCCAGTTTGTCGCATATAAGATATTCGTGAAATCGGGCCATTTCAGTAAATAATTCTGTTACAATTTCGGTACTTACTTGGTATATATTATAGTTTTCAGTTCCTGCGTTCATCAGAATTCATTGTGTCTTCATAACTGTTCGACAAACAGGAGGAAATAACTCAACTTGGGGAGGGGCAAAATCTCCCACATTTTTTAGAGTTGTTTCTCTTTGATCAGTTAACTTTTGGAAACGGGTTGTAAAACATTTTTTTTTTTAAAAGGAGAATAAAACAGTATTTATATGGCTAATTCTTAATTTGAAGATAGGCCCGTGATCTGGTAATGCGAATGTTACATAGCCAACTGTAACAAAAGAAAGCAATGTAGCCTATCATACATGTAAAAAGATGAAGAATATTGTTGTGCTATAATATTGATCACGGATACGAGTTTCATATAAAATTAAAGAAATTTAAGACATAATCTTTATTTTCTTCCCTTTTATGGAGGGAGGGAGGGGCGGGTTTAAATCAAAAGCGCAAATAATCAAGGATACGATTTCGTATTTCTAAAGAAACTACATCAAACCCCTAATCCCATTTTCTTATAATTACGTCGGGATCGATTCGGTCGTCATTTTGACGCTTTATTATAAACGTCAAATTTGACGTCAAGTTAAACGTTAAATTGAAATCGCAAGAGTTATCTCCCTTAGTGTGTTGTACGTCTTTAAACATGGTTTATCATAAAATAGAATTTTGTCACTATGAAGGCAAAGCACAATTCTTTTGTATTTAAAATATAATCACTCCCTTGGTCTTCATCCCCCCATATTTTCTCAGAGGTATGTGACGTCATAAAATACATGATTGTAACAAAGGTCTATATATAGATAGCCCTGGCAACCTTGGCGCGAGAAGAATATATGAGGGCTATGCAAAGTTAGAATGAAAAATTCCTGTAAAATCAAAATGTATTTTGTTCGATCGTTAATTTGGCAGAGTTCATCAATCAATTATGTGTAATGTTGGCCACTTCCAAACGACGAAGAATCCTCACTTGTCAAAAGTTATGTCCCTTGGCCGCAATATTGGGGGAGAACCCATTTTTAGAATGTTCTCAGAGCTTTGTAGTGTGCGTTCATGACCATGTCAGACATTAGAGGGCTTCCTGGTTTGTATTTTTGTCATTTGACAGAAAAAATCCTTGTATTAAATTATTCCCTTGGATCGGCTGTTGCTAAAACGCGGAACGGAAAACGGAAAGGAAACGGAAAATCTTACATCAATTTGTATGTTACTACAGGCCTATGTTAGGCTGCTTGGCACAGGTATAAATCATGCAGATAGGAATCAGTATTTTTTTTATATAACAAGTCCATATCTCATTAACAATTATCAATAAAATGCGATTTGTTCATGATTTCATTTCTTCTCAGAACTTATATTAGGTCCGTTATTATTGAGAGGGTACAAGTATATAGTAGCCATGTTTTCTATACTTATCTCTATGTAGGAACTGCTACCCCAAGACTATAAGAGGGGAATAATGATAATATATTATATTCTGCTCTTGTGACAGTCGGTTTCGGGGGAGGCTCAACCTGAGATTTCTATATCAGATGACCACAAAAGAAGACAAAGTTAACAATGATTGAAAATGATGTTTTATTTATTTAAAATGTATTAAATGATATGGATATGGTGAAATGAAACCAATGAGTGAATGACATTGACTGGTACTTCCAGTGCTATAAAACAATGAAAAATATGTATGAAAAATGAGATGAATGAAATAATCTTATAAATCAAAATTGTTACTTTATTTACTTATTTATAAGTCCTTGGTACTTTAATGTGTATGAATTTAGATCGGGATCGAAATGTAAATATTTATTAGACCACAATGGCGCCGAATGTGAAATGTTAATTTGGCCTTTTTTCAATTTTTAGGATCTAAACTTTATAAGATGTATATGGTTTGTAAAAATTAAAAAAAAAAGGTACAAAGTGCTCAAAATACGGGAAGTGGATCTTACCCGTAGTAAGGCTGCAGAGCAGTGAACGCTAGGAGAGCAATCCGCCGATATACTCGAAACACGGCCTTAATATATAGTGTGAATACACAAAAGAAAAGGTCACCCAACCGTGAACTGTTAGAACACATATTACTGGACAAGATAACAGACTTTAAACCTATCAGATAACGTTTAAGATGTAAAGTTATGGAATGAAAGGCAATATGGACGACTAGTGAAAACAAAATGTGCCTAAAAGCATGAGGTTAGTAAACAGCTGACTTTAAGAATTGTATCTATGGACGAAGTGTCTAACTTAATTTGATATTTACTTAATGTAGAAATAAAATGATTATGAGGGACAAAAAAATGATTGGTTGTATATAAGTTTGCTATTTATGCTAATATCATGACACCCGTTAAAACAAATTTTGTTTTAAAATGATAAACGACAAGTTGATCAGGTCACAGCTTCAAATACAATTAGTGGAGTACCTTTCTCAAACTACCAAATGCACCAGTAAGTGAATTTGCTGGCAATCGGTGTGTAACTATGGGAAAAGAGTTTGTTACTGCCGAACATACATATGTAACATAAACTGTGATTCATTGATTTTCCATCGCGACTCTGTGCAGCAGCCCATCATATGACCCATGCATATTAATTACATACGATGATATTTAGGCAAGTTTGCCCATGGGTGATAGGTAAAAAACGAGATCACTTGTGGGTATCCGACAGTGCTTCAAGGGGTGCTTACTTTACTTAGGCAGCTGATCCCACCTCTGGGATATCCAGGGGTCCATAATTTATGCCCTGTTCACAGGAAAATCCATCACCCACTCCGGGGATCGAACTCATGACCCTGACATTGTCAGTCTGTAGTGCTACAGAGCTAAAGATGCCATTACCTATAACACTGTATAAACTTAGTTTCAAATATTTGATAGTTTAAGAAAAAAAAATCTTTTTTCCCTTCACTCTACTGAAATTCTTTGAAACTATCTGTACATTATACCTAATTGCATGAAACACTCAAAAATATTTTTAAAAAATATGACATACATGTTATACAAGGTGACGTCATAATAACATGTTTGAAAGAGGTGATGAAACATCGGAAATCATGGAAATGGAGAAAATATTGTAACACAGTTGTTTTAATACAAAATACAGTGAGCATAATAATTACAATAGTGTTGTGCTTTGCATGTACTATGCCTAAATAGTAGTCAGGGCTTAACACATAGTGCACTCACCTCCAGCACAACACTATTATATATTAAATAGAAGATGGGCTGATGAAAGTAGCGTAAGTGCAGTAATTAGCTTTCTGCAATTTGATTGGATGTTTGATTTGTCAAAATTTAAAAATAATCATTTGTACAAGAAATGATTACTTTTCTTCATATAAATTGCAAAGCCTATATAAACATGATAAGTGATGATATTGATCGTATTGCTATTGGAGAATCGTCATAATGAGACATATTGTGTGACTTTAGAGTCCCCTTAAAGTAAGGATAGGGTAGGCATCCTGGGTCATGACTTTTCATGGAAATTAAGATGTGTAGGAGAAAATCTAGAAAAAAATTCTAAGAATAAACATGAAAAACAGGGCTGAAGTATCGCTTGTGAGCATTGCAGGCTAATTTGCAGCCTATGGGCCAGTACAGCTGCTCTTAATGTTAAAGTACTGTATTTATAACATTTGTAGGAAAAGGGTTGTATGCCGAAAAGGAATATCGCGAAGGTGAATTTATAGTGGAATATTCTGGAGATCTTTTACTCAGGAAAGATGGACTGGAGCGAGAGATATTCTATCCACTTGAGAAAGGAAGCTACATTTACTTCTTTGCTTGGGACAGTACGAAGTACTGGTATGTAAACTGTATATTTCTGACAAATGTAGAGAATGATACTGTTCATAGGTGTTGAAAAACAGTGGCACCTTCCCTATCCTGAGTAATGATGAGCTGCTGCAGTTGCTGATTGATTGTCTTAATTTTTATACATGTAATACAATTGATTGTCATTGTATAATACATATAGATTTGATACCGTAGGATTTAATCAATTCAGTGTACATGTATATATATGAAACAATGTTGTGATGTTATTCCCTTTGTTCTTGAGGTATAAAAATTTACCTCCTGTTGTCTGATATTAGTGAGCAGTCTGATATTAAGTTAAACATCAGAAGGTCTCCTATATTGATATCTTCAAAATTGAACTGAACAAACATTGACAAAAGAAATTAAAAAATGATTATTTAGAAAACAGCTATGTTTGATTTTAGCTCTTCTGAGCCAAAGACTCAAAGAGCTAATGCTATGGCCATTTGTGCGGTGTGAGGTGTGTGTAAACTTTTTAGAATATGGGCCATAACTCAAGAACCCCTTAGCCAATTATTGTCAAATTTGTCACAGATTATCCTTGGCCCAAAGGCTCCCGTTTATACAAAAACTAGGGTTGTGACCCTTAAACAAGGGGAGATAATTAGGTAAATAAAACGAAAAGTACTGGTTGCTAAAAAATCTTCTCAAGAACCACTGGGCAGATTATCACCAAACTTAAGCAAAAGGATGTAGATTAAAACTTGCATGGGGAATTGCCCTGGGCGTGGTCTCAGGGTCATTTCAAAGTTGACCAAAAATTACATTTTATTTAAATGTTGATATTTTGCTTACTATAAGGAGTAGGATCATCAAATCTTGTCAGTTGATGCATCTAAGGACCTCATATCATGTTGACTCAAAAGTAGGTCACAGTGACCTACTTTTTAAATTGTGTGGCCATTCTTTTTCAAAATGATTTAGAGGCATATTTTGAACAATTTAAGGCCTATGATCATCAAACTTTGTCAGTTGATGCATCATCAGTTCTCAAAGTGCGACAACTAAACAGTAGGTCACCTTAACCTACTTTTTGAATTTTATGGCTTATCTTTTTCAAAATATTAAAGGTCATTAATTCAAATACTGAGAGGTTTAGAATCGTTAAATCTTGAAAGATGATGCATCTTGGTGCCATAAAACATATTACTAAAAAGTAGGACACAGTGACCTACTTTTTGAACTTTGCAGGCAAAGTGTTTTAGAGGCATATTTTGGACATTTTAAGGCCTATGATCATAAATCTGTGTAAATTGATGCATCTTGGGTCCTCAAAAAAGGTCAATTGAAAAGTAGGTCACCATGACTTACTTATGAAATTTTATGGCTATATTTTAAATATTTTGGATACTATTTGGCTTAGAATCATCAAACTTTGTCAGTTGATGTATCTTGTGTCCTCAGAGTTGGTTGGCTGAAAAGTAGGTCACGGTGACCTATTTTCAATTTATATGACTATAATTAAATAAATCGGGTACATGTACTAATTGGATTAGAATCATCAAACTTTGTCAGTTGATGCATCTTGGGTCTTCAGTGTAAGTCAACTCAAAAATAGGTCATCTTGACCTACTTTTGAAAATTTATGGCTTTAATTAAATATTTCAGGTACTATTTGGCTTAGAATCATCAAACTTTGTTCAGTTGATGCATCTTGGGTCCTCAGAGTATGACAATGGAAAAATAGGTCAACATGACCTACTTTTGAAATTTTATGGCTGTATTTTAATATTTTCGTGTACTATTTGACTTAGAATTATCAAAATTTGTCAGTTGATGCATCTTGGGTCCTCATAGTAAGTTGACAGAAAAGTAGGTTGCCGTGACCTACTTTTGAAATTTTATTGTTTTATTTAAATATTTAAGGTACTAATTGGCTTAGAACCACCAAACTTTTTCAGTTGATGCATCTTGGGTCCACAGAGTAAGTTGACTGAATAGGAGCTCAAGTGAGCTCTTCTGATCACATTTTGTCTGTAGTCCATCTTTTTGTCCGTCCATCCGTCTGTCAGTAAACTTTTCACATTTTCGACTTCTTCTCCAGAACCACTTGGCCAGTTTCAACCAAACTTGCCAAAAAGCTTCCTTGGGTGTAAGGGATTCGAGTTTGTTCAAATGAAGGGCTACACCTTCATTCAAGGGGAGATAATTCAGAATAGTGGCATATTTTAAAAATCTTCTTCTTAAACCACCAGTCCAAAAAAGTTGAAACTTATAGGAAACCTTGATTACATAGTGTAGATCCATGTTTATTCAAATCATGACCCCTGGGGGTAGGGTGGGGCCACAATGGGAGATCAAAGTTTTACATAGGAATATATAGAAATTTTTTTTTAGAAATCTTCTTCTCAAGAACAGCAAAGCCTTGTTTTGTCATATTGATATGTAAGCATCCTCAGGTAGTGTAGATTCAAGTTTGTTCAAATCATGACCCCCAGGGTTAGGGTGGGGCCACAATGGGGGATCAAAGTTTTACTTGGGAATATATAGGAAAAAAAATTAAAAATCTTCTTCTCAAGATCAGCAAAGCCTTGTTTAGTCATATTGATATGTATACATCCTTAGGTAGTGTAGATTCAAGTTTCTTCAAATCATGACCCCTGGGGTTAGGATAGGGCCACAATGCGGGATCAAAGTTTACCTAGGAATATAGGAAAAAATTTTAAAATCTTCTCAAGGATATCAAAGCCAAGTTTAGTCATATTGATATGGCAGCATTCTCAAGTATTGTAGATGCAAGTTAGTTCAAATCATGACCCCTGGGGTTAGGTGTGGCCACAATAGATGATCAAAATTTTACATAGGAATATATATAGTAAAAAATAAACTTAGAATTTTCTTCTCAAGAACAACAAAGCCATGTTTAGTGAATAGTCATATTGAAATGGAAACATTTTCAGATATTGTAGATTCAAGTTTTTTCAAATGACGACCCTGAGGGGTAGGGAGGGGCCAAAATGAGGGATCAAAGTAAATATATAGAAAAAAATCTTTTTCTCAGAACAGCAAAGCCATGTTAAGTCATATTGATATGGAAGCATCCTCAAGTGATGTAGATTCAAATTTGTACAAATGATGACCTGGGGAGGGGGGGGGGGGAGTAGAGAGGGGCCACAATGGGGTATCAAATTTTTACCAAGGAATATAAAGGAAAAAAATCTATAAAAAATCTTTTGCTCAAGAACAGCAAAGCCATTTGTTCATTGATATGGAAGCATCCTCAGGTAAAATTCAAGTCCCCCCCCCCCCAGTAAACTTTTCAATACTGAACTGGTTTGTGCTTTTTCCTTGCCAATATGCTCAGGTGAGCCATGTGGCATATGGGCCTCTTGTTGAAAATTTTATGGCTTTATTTAAATATATCATGTTAATTGGCTTAGAATCATCAAATTTTGTTAGTTGATGCATCTTTGATTCTGGGAGTATGTCCAGTTAAATGTAAGTCCTTCTGACCTACTTTTGGAATTAAATGTCTATATTTAAATATTTTCTGTTCTAATTTGTTTAGAGTCATCAAACTTTGTTGGTTGATGCATCTTGGGTGCTTGGAGTACGTCGAGTGAAAAGTAGGTCACTGTGACCTGATTAAATATTTTTTCAGGTACTAATTGGCTTAGAATCACCAAACTTTGTCAGTTGATGCATCTTGGGTTCTCAAAGTATGTCAATTGAAAAGTAGGTCACTGTGACCTACTTTTGAAATTTTATGGTTATAATTGAATATTGTATGTATTAATTGGCTTAGAAGCATCAAACTTTGTCACTTGTTGCATCTTGGGTCCTTGGAGTACGTCAACTGAAACAAACAATCCATTTCCAAAAATTATATAATTTCAAATACCTGTAATTGTATACCTCATTAGGAAATAAGTTGTTTTCAATCACATATGCATTCTTGAATAATAATAATAATGCATTCTTGCTTCAATATATAGTCAAACACTTCTGTCTTTTATTAAAATATTGGACTGTCTCAGGATGTCAAAAAGTGTAATTTAAAGGGCAGTATTTGCCCTCAAACAATTCTATATAAGTACAAGCATTTTGAGAGTATTGCTTATGCAATACAATCCCCTACCAGCAAGTGTAATCTGGTTACAAAAAGCAACAGGCTTCTTGTTGTTAGGAGTAAAAGTTATAAGGGATACTCTGGTTCAAGTGCAATAACTTGAACTTGAATTTTGATTAATACTGCTTGAAAATAACAAAAAGTTTTGATTTTTTTGTAATTTTATTTTTCTGATTTTCACAGTTTAGATGCTACAAATTCAAAACAACAAGGAAGATATGCCAATGATGCAGCTCCAGGAGATGTTCTTCAGAATGCAGTTATGAGATGTGTACCAAACAACGGATTGCCTAACTTGGCTCTTTTTGCTTCAAGGAATATAGGTGTAGGAGAGGAAGTTAGATATGATTATGGAGTTAAAGACCTTCCATGGAGGAAACAGGTACTTAACTGTCTTTCTTTATAAAGCTTTAAATTCACCTGTATTCTTTGCCTTTTTCTTCTTAATATCATTAGGACCTCATTAGGATCAGGATTCCATAAGTAAGATTTTATTTATATGCAAGTTTTCCAATGGAGTCAAATTTAGTTTTATTCAAATCATTGCCTAAGAGGCCATGGTGAGCTAAAATAGTGCATGCAGTCAGATGCATGAGAATTAATATCTAAGAAATGAAAATAAATTCTTATTTAAAAGTTTTATAAAAGCAAGGCCACACTAAATAAATAATTTTCAAGCAGTACCAAGTTGTTTGGATGCTTGCCCCCCCCCCCTCCCCCCAATGAATATTGAGCTAGTGTGGCTTCATAATTGGTGATCAAACTTTACATAATTCATTACAAACAGGAAGAAATATCTTTAAGGAAACCCACTCCTTCATCATGAATGATAACTCTCCGAAGGAGAGGGGGTATACTGTGTTACCTTTGTGTGTCTAGCTGTCTGTCTGTCTGTCTCTGTGTCTGTCTGTAATAAATTTTTGATGCAGTTTTCTCAGCAACTACTGAGGACTTTTATATTTCACATGTCTTATGACAAGTTCTTCCCCTGGGTCTCATTTATTTTGACCCTTTGACCTTGACCTTGGAGTTTGACCAATATTTGAAAAACACTAACCTTGACCATAACTTTTGAACACTTGGTGCTTGGGCTTTAATATTTCACAGGTATATTATTTGAGACAAGTCATTTCTTTGGGAAGCAACATTTTTGATCTATTAGAGTTAAATAAGCATTTGAGAATCCCTAAGAAACCATATGGGGCATCAGTGTTTCACAAACACATCTTGTTTTCTTATATAACATGATTAACTATAACGATGAATATTAAAGAAATACCATGGGTAAATACACATTTATTTGAGAAATTCTGAGACATTTTTATGAGAATTTTCAATTACTCAACTCCACATTTTCAGAGCTTGAGGGTCCAACTATCTTAATTTCTTTAAAATGAAACACTGTTATATTCTATGAAAGATGTAAATTTATATTGTTTAATTATTAAATAATTTTGAAAACAGTTCTAATTGACATATCACCCATAATGTAGGGTCTTTGGAGTAAAAATCTCCACTAATTAGAAAGCGGTCGTGTGGTACGTCATAGTTGTCAATTGTCAATTAGAACTCATAAAGCTTATCTTAAGAAAACATATATCATGGAATAGACTTTTATGTGATAAGTGTGGCCTTAGGGTCAGAGATTGTAGTGGGAGAGGGGGTGGGAGGAGGTCTATTGTTTACATAGTAAAAAAATACAGTATTTCTTTGAAAATTTTCTTATTTGTTTTTAAGTATTTAGCAAAAAAATAAATTCATAGATATGATGAAAAAGGGTGCTTCATTCAAAATTGTGAATTTCACAACCCCAGGGTCAAGGGTTCTGATGTAAGGGTGAATCTCTTATGATTATATAGTAAAAATGCAGTAATTCTTTAAAAATTTTCTTCTCTGCTCTTGGGTATTAAGCACATAAACTAAGTGCATGAATACGATGAGCAAGGTTGCCTCTACCCAAATTTTAAATTTCATGGCCCCTGGGTCAGGGGTTAAGGTGTTAGGCATTACTCTATTGATTATATAGTGAAATTGCATTAATTCTTTAATTTTTTTCCTCTGGGTATTAAGCAGATAAAGTAAGTGCACAATTATGACAAGAAAGGGTGCCTTTTTCAATATTGAAAACTATGTGGCCCAAGGGTCAAAGGTTATGGTGGGGGTCTATTTAAAAGTGAAATGCATTATTTCTTTAAAAATCTCTTTATTTGCTCCTGTGAATTTAACAGATAAACTAAGTTTACAGATATTATGAGCAAGTGTATAGTATACCTCTTCCAAAATTGTGAATTTCATGACTCCTGGGTAGGGATGTGTGATTTTATCGGTATACCAGTATATCGTGATTTTTAATTGCGTGATATGTAATAATTGTGATACGGAGAGTAAAATATCAGTATTTAGGTACATAGTTATAAATTACAGAAATTATTCATTTATTTGTTCATTTTTTCAAATTACAATGACAGGAAGTGTAAAAAATGTTGAAAACCTTAAAAAGAATGGCATTCTAGCATCCACAATTGCTTCATATAATGTAAAAAAAAAAATGAAAAAAATGAAGTTATGTTTTTCCAGCATAATTTTGGAAAAATTATGAATATTCATTTGAAATCATCGTAAAAATTGCTTGTAAAAATATCATGATATTATTGTGATATATTTTTTTAAAATCGTGATATATGGCGATACGAAATTTTTGGCGATACCCATCCGTACTCCTGGGTAAGGTTATTTGGTGTTAGGGTTGTGTTAAATCAATAGTGAAAATGCATAATTTCTTTGAAAATCTTCTCTGCTCTTAGGCATCTAGGAGGCAATCAGAGTTCAACGTTGTAAAAAAGCAAGGGTGTTTAAACCAGATTTTTAAAATTCTGGACCTCCTAGTCGGTGTTCTGGTGCTAATCAGGTGTCTATTAATTTGTATTTTACTGACTCAGGGAACTTATTTCCATTTGCTATGAACAATATACACCTATGATAATCACTGTAAATAATGTTATTGAAAAGTCAATTGAGTTAAAGAATTATATATAAGAGTTTTTGATATTTTTTGCTGGTTGGGTATACTTGTAAATAATGGGTAATTAAAAATGAGACCAAAAAAATTACCCCTGTGTATTAAATATTTTTCTGAGATCAAGAGAGGCCATTGTGAGAGTGAATGAAATAGGTCTACTTACAGTGCACAAACATTATTATATTGTTTAGTCTGCATTGTGATAATGACAAATAGGGGCAAGCATTGGCAAGTAAAATAAATCTAGTTCAAGAATTAGTATTGACTACTAAATAAATTGTTGTGTTGATCCCTAATCATTGCTTTCTCTTTTTTATGTCTATAATGTTTACAATCTAAAGTAATTGAAAATTTAGGGGATTCTATTTCTTAAATATCAATTACGAGACCACTTGAGATTGTACTGCCCATGTGCGGTTTCAGTGCTTTGTAATTTGTGCTGTAATGTTTACAATCTAAAAAGTAATTAAAAGTTTAGAGGATTATGAATTATCTTATTATAAGTTATTTATCTATTTTTTAAACTGTGACTCGGTGTCTTTACAAATTGTTCAATTAGGCCAGCATTTTTTATGTTTAGGTTTACAATCCCGCCGCTCCAGTTTTTTAATTTAAAAGAAAAAAAATAAAATTGAGAAAAATGGAATTTTTTCTTTCTTGTTGAATTTGTATAGAGGTCAAGATTTTGAATTTACAAACTCATACTTCTGGTTTATAATAAACATGGCAGGTAAATAAAGGTAGATCTGCCAGCAGCATTGTAGCTTTTTTTTAGTGTAAAGTATCCTTGGATTAAGGGGATTTTAAATTATTAAAATGAAAGGCCAAGCCCCTTTCTAAGGGGAGATAATTAAGAAAAAGCAAAAATAGGGTGAGAGTCATTGAAAAAATCTTTTTTTGAAGAACCACTGGATCAGAAAAGCTAAAATTTATGTGAAAGCTTCCTTATGTATTGTAGATTCTAAATTGTTCAAATCTTGGTCCCTCTGTGTAGGATGGGGCCACAATAGGAAGTCAAAAGTTTTTCATTGAAATACATAGGAAAAATCTAGAAAAATCTTCTTTTGAAGAACCACTGGACCAGAAAAGCTGAAACTTATGTGGAAGCTTCCTGAGGTAGTGTAGATTATAAATTGTTCAAATCAGGGCCCTTGAGGGAAGGGTGGGGCCACAATAGGGAATCATAGTTTTACATAAAAATATAGGGAAAAATCTTGAAAAATCTCTTTCCTAGAGCCACTGGACTAGGAAAGCTGAATCTTTCTGAGTAGCTTTCTGAGTAGTGTAGATTCTAAATTGTTTAAATTATGGCCCCCTGGGGTAGGGTAGGGCCACATTAGGGAATCAATGTTTTCTGATGGAGTTTTTTAATGCAGAACAGAAGGGCCAAAGTGACTCAGGTGAACATTGTGGCCCAGGGGCCTCTTGTTTCTTTTTAAATCCTGTATTGTAACCAACATCTCAAAATTTATATCAATGCCCCAAGCTGGCAGACAATGAAAAAATTAATAATTTAAGGTTTTATCTTGTGTCCTATTTGTAACCATTGTGTGGCCAGTGACAAGGAATCTGTTAGGAGAGAATAAAAAAAGAAACAAATATGAAAGTACAAAAGTTGATAATTTTTATAAAAAAAAAAATATATTTTTTTTATTTCCTCCTCCTACAGGTGTTTGTAAACCTAAAAAAAAAATGCTGGCTCTAATGCCATCTCTTTTTTACCTACTTTTAGTGGGTACCCAGAACAGACATTGATTTTAATAATCTTCCTTCTTTAACTAAAACAATCAATCCAATTACCATGATTACTAACTGAACTTTTGAAAATCTTTTGTCATCATAAACCATATACTGCAAAGGGTTGTCCAAGATTTGCATAAAACTCCATAATCCTTGCCTTGGTCAAGTATGACTGAGACACCCACTTATTAAATTTTCTGTTGAAAGTCAAAAACACAGTGAAGTCATTTTCACATTGTGACGTCACAAACACAGAGGAGGGTATTTTGTAGCACATACTATTTATAGAACATGTATGCCAAATTTCATTCTAATAGGAGTTGTGATTATTCAGATATAAAGATAGCTCACTAACATTTTTATATAATTATCACTCCTCGTTTTTGTTTGTTTGTTTGTTGTTTAACGTCCCTTTTGAGAATTTTTCACTCATATGGAGACACCACTACTTGCCGGTGGAGGGCTACAAATTTTGACCTGTGGGATTTGAACCCACGACGTAAGGATCAACTCCTTACTCCGCGACTCTAGAGCGAACTCTCTAACCACTGCGCCACATGGGCAATGATCACTCCTCATACTGTTTGCTATAAAATATTATTAATTTTGTATGTATGCAAAAATTTCCATAGCCGCAAATTTAAATTGTCTGAAGAATTTCAAACTAATGGTTTGTGAATAAAAGTTGTGAATAATAATCAGTTTACTGTATATGCTTTTTGTTAAAGTAAATTTTCATATCAGATATGGATCATAATAGGTTCAGTTGTAATTGTTGTCATTTCATTGACTGATCAAATGTTTTTTAAAATATAAAAACTAAAGTATAGTATTTCTATTTTTAACAGATTGAGAGACCCCCTGTTGTTTTTGTTGAGAAAATTGAAAGGAGTTTGGTTTGGCAGCAGACTTCCTGTTCATCTCCTCCCCCTGAGGATTCTAGGGAAATGCAAAGGACAGAAAGAGGTAAAAAAAAAAAATCAGATGCCAATAAAAGATAAGAACTCGATGATTTATTGTAAATATTACAGTTAGGCCACACCAATAAAATTGGTGCACTCATATTTTAAAGAAATATAAAAAATAATATTTTAAATTTCCCACTTCGGAATTTTCTGTTCCATTTCCAGCCCCCTTTTTGTTTTGTTTTAGTCGGTCATGTCTGGGTTTAGAATTAAATAGTAAATGTTGAGCGTCAGCAAAAACCAAGACTATAATACTTTAAACATGTAAAGGAATCAGTATATATATATATATGTATATATTTTTTTTAATTGTTTTTTATTAGCTCACCTCAATGAAGTTGGGGTAGCTTATGTAATACCCTTGGCGTCGGCATCCCAGGTTAAAGTTTTTTGTGCAGTTTTCTTTTCAAGTACATCTATGCCCTATATTAATCAGAGATGCATGGAGGATGCTTCTAATATGTTTTATTGTACCAGTCAAGGTTTCAGATGCTGCAATTTCAGCTGAAGAATGATCAGGTTAAAGTTTTGGAGCAGGTATCATTTCCAGGTAACTATCAGCCCTATATTGACCAAACTTGCCTGGATGATACATTGAAAGATGCACACTACCAGGCTTGCTTCGGATGCTGGATCTGACCTACATTTTCCGGATGAGTGACCATGTTAAAGTTTTCAGAGCAGGTCTCATTTCCAAGTAACTACATGTATAAGCCCTATGTTGACCAAACTTGCATGGATGATACATCTAAGGATGCACACTACTGGACTTGCTTCGTATGCTGGATCTGACCCACATTATCTGCATGAGTGACCACGTTAAAGTTTTTAGAGCAGGTCTCATTTCCAAGTAACTTTAAGCCCTATGTTGACCAAACTTGCATGAATGATACATCTAAAGATGCACACTACCAGGCCTGCTTCGGATGCTGTATCTGACTGACATTTTCCAGATGAGTGACCAGGTGAAAGTAAACTTTAAGGGTTATATTAACCAAACTTGCACGGGTCATGCATCACATGATGAACACTCTCAAACTTGCTTCAGATGCTGGATATGACTTACATTTTCTGGATGAGTGACTAGTTTAAAGTTTTTAGGTAAGTCCATTCTCAAGTAACTGCAAGCCCTATCGGACCAAAACTCCATAACTGTTACATCTAGGGATGCACACTACTTGATTATTAGTTTAGGACTTTGCCTTACTTAAAGACAACATTCATTGAGGTGAGCTCTGTAATCTCTGATTACCTATGTTTACATATGGAGTAAAGTCAGTATGCAATTATTCTACTTCACTGCCAGGAAATTATGTTGACTTAATAAAAAATATTAACATTATAATTATCAAATGGCTTGCTTGCCCCTATTTTTGGGGGTCAGTTGTCCGAAGAACAGGAAATTTTATTGGTGTGGCCTTATGATGAATTGATAGTCATTTTTCGAAAATTCTTTCAGTAGATGAGAGATGCAAAAACATTGAGCCCAGCATATCGTCTGCCCCTTTTCCTCCTGTTCTGCCCAAGGTAATGTTTTTAAAGACTTTTACGGCCAATGTAAAAAATGTTTAGATTCTCATCCAAAAATGGTAATGCAGTTAAGCCCTGCAATTGTAGTATTATAAATGTACTATGAATGATATAAAACCCTACAGACATTGCAAGGGTCTTATTGTAATTAATTAATTAATAAAGAATAAAAGATGCTGAAATGTCAATGCATCAACTGTTTGAAAATTGCAAGTAATCAGTCTTTTTAGCTCACCTGAGCTGAAAGCTCAAGTGGACTTTTCTGATCAGCTTTTGTCTGTTAGTCCATCCATCTATAAACTTTTTCACATTTTCAACATATTTTCAAGAAACTACTGGACCAATTTTAACGCAAGTTCAAGTACAAAGCATCTTTGGGTAAAGGAAGCCTCGCCACGTCAAACCGAAGACGTAAACATAGGTAGTGACTGTTCCTTTGCCAAGCACCCGACATTAGAAGTGAAAGTCACGGGTCTTTCGGATATGACCTTAAAAACGTAGGTACCGTGTCACGGCATGTGTTGGCGTGATAAATAAACCTCATGCTCAATGGCCCTGAGTGCCAAGCATTGGTCTAAATTTGAAGCCCTTCACTGGTATATGGTGACGTGTCTGTATGAGTGAAAAATTTTCGAATAGAAGTTAAACAATACACAATCAATCAATCAATCAAATCACGGCCTGGGGTTATGGTGAGACCACAATAGGGAATAAGTTTAACATTGAAATATTTTAGGAAAAATCTCTAAAAATCTTCTCCTCGAGAACCACTCTACCAAAAAAGCTTAAACTCATTTGGAAGCTTACAGAGAGAGTGTTGATTCAAAACTGTTCAATTCAAGGAACCCAGGGGTAAGCTGGGGTGAGTCACAATAGGGAATCATAGTTTTACATTAAAATATATAGGAAAGATCTTTCAAATCTTTTTATTTATCAAGAACCAGAACAGGTCAGAAAAGATTAATATACTAGGATTAAACATTCTTTTATCAGAATTTATCGATGTGTAAACTCATGCCTTTGTACTCACAAACGGAATAAAAGTGCAAAGCACTTTTATGTAAAATACAAATTCTGGAAAAAAGAATGTTTACTTCTTATAATTCCAATTACGAAGTTTTAAAATTATTTCTCTTTGAAGCCTCCATACAATGTTTTATTTCTGTACAGCGTAGGAATACTTTATGCCGCGATGTGGAAATGAATTCATCGCAATCAAGATGAAGGTCAATAAAGTTCAACTTTAATTGTCAAAACATTTAATAAAATAAGCTTATAAAAACTCTTCGAATATTTATGTTTAAGTCAACAAATATCCTAAATACAAGTAGACTTCTAAAGAATTCGTCCTTGAACGTGTTGACAATATAATATTTGACAGACACTCTAAAACGAAAGTAGCAGACCGACGACATCCTTGATTTGCTCTGGTTTGTTCAAAGACGGGACAGAATATACAGTGGCTGCAACGTAATTGTTAACAACTTACACAAATGATCATGTTACATGAACGATTCCACTCGATAAATGCACGATTAGACCTGTTACATGAACGATCCTTTAGGTACATGATTCTACACGATACACGATCTTTCACTAATTTAGTATTGTTATTTTATATTACGAATAATTATTGGTGCAATTTATCGACTTTGGAAAACTGGAAAAAACTATTTAGAATGGATATTTTTTAAACTAAATAAGATTAAATCGTTAATTTATTTACAAATAATTATTTATGTACTTCTCCGACATAGAAGTGATTTTATTAAGCTTGTCGATACGTACGGATGTAATTTATGATCGATTGCTGCATATTCTATTAAGTGATAAAGGTGGGCCATGAGCATGGTGAGTTTTGATTCTATTGAATTTTTTATATGCAGTAAGCTAGGGTGGATAAGATTTTTAAAAATAGCATAATATGAATTAAAACTACATCCTTCTTTGCATTGGTGAATCTCTAAAATAAGCAGTTATTTTACAATTCATTTATTGCAGAAATTATAGAAACAAAGTATCAGGGATAAACACTGTTTAAAGTAACCCTGACAATCATATCGTGTACATTCACCGACTTAATATTTATTTAAGCATTGGGAATTATTTATTATTTTTTTTGTAAAGATATACATTTTAAATGCATTGATACAAAATATGTCTTGGACCACAATTACTAGTAAACATAACTAACATCAGAGAAAAAAAAAATCATTAAATTTATTATTTAAGTTACACTATTTTAAGAGAATACAATATTGTGCAACTTACTATATTGCTTACTTACTAGCGATAGTTAGTTCATTCAATATTGTAAACTGTGCTCCAATTTTTTTCTTATTTCAATTAATACAGACAATCGAAATGCTTGTTTAACAAATTACATTCCGATAAAAACTTACAAAACGAATTTTTAGCTCACCTCGACGAAGTCGAGATGAGCTTATGCTATACCCCCGGCGTTGCCGTCGGCGTCGGCGTTAGCGTCGGCGTCCCGGTTAAAGTTTTAGGAGCAAGTCCCATTCCCAAGTAACTATAAGCCCTACCTTGACCAAACTTGCATGGATGATGCATCTAGGGATGGACACTACCACACTTGCTTCGGATGCTGGATATGACCTAGATTTTCCAGATGATTGACCAGGTTAAAGTTTTTGGAGCAGGTCCATTCCCAAGGAATTATAAGCCCTACCTGGACCAAACTTGCATGGATGATGCATCTAGGGATGGACACTACAACACTTGCTTCGGATGCTGGATCTGACCTAGATTTTCCAGATGGGTGACCAGGTTAAAGTTTTTGGAGCAGGTCAATTCCCAAGTAACTATAAGCCCTACCTGGACCAAACTTGCATGGATGATGCATCTAGGGATGGACACTACCACACTTGCTTCGGATGCTGGATCTGACCTAGATTTTCCAGATGAGTGACCAGGTTAAAGTTTTTGGAGCAGGTCCATTCCCAAGTAACTATAAGCCTTACACGGACCAAATTTGCATGGATGATGCATCTAGGGATGGACACTACCACACTTGCTTCAGATGCTGGATCTGACCTAGATTTTCCAGATGATTGACCAGGTTAAAGTTTTTGGAGCAGGTCCATTCCCAAGGAATGATAAGCCCTACCTGGACCAAACTTGCATGGTTGATGCATCTAGGGATGGACACTACAACACTTGCTTCGGATGCTGGATCTGACCTAGATTTTCCAGATGAGTGACCAGGTTAAAGTTTTTGGAGCAGGTCAATTCCCAAGTAACTATAAGCCCTACCTGGACCAAACTTGCATGGATGATGCATCTAGGGATGGACACTACCACACTTGCTTCGGATGCTGGATCTGACCTAGATTTTCCAGATGAGTGACCAGGTTAAAGTTTTTGGAGCAGGTCCATTCCCAAGTAACTATAAGCCTTACCTGGACCAAACTTGCATGGATGATGCAGATTGGGATGGACACTACCACACTTGCTTCGGATGCTGGATCTGACCTAGATTTTCCAGATGAGTGACCAGGTTAAAGTTTTTGGAGCAGGTCCATTCCCAAGTAACTATAAGCCCTACCTGGATCAAACTTGCATGGAGGATGCATTTAGGAATGGACACTACCACACTTGCTTTGGATGCTGGATATGACCTAGATTTTCCAGATGGGCCACTAGGTTAAAGTTTT